CTCACTCCTATTTCTGGCTAGGAGATCTGAGCCGTGGTTTCACCATTTTGGATAGTCCTTCATAGCCAGATTTCATAGCATGCTGACTTGAACTAGTTTTTTGCTACTTCGGATCATGCCCCTCGTGCCTTCTTCCTCGTGGAGGATTTGATGTGGCCTAATCTTTGCAAGTTCTGGCTTCCTTAATAACCCATATCAAGTCATCAGCTATAAGTCTGCGCTTGGAGTATGACCGATTTGTGTCCTTGATAAGGCTTCGGAGATCTACCACATTCACTTCAACGGACAAGTCAGGGAATGGGTCTGCATCAACTCCCATGGTTTCCTTAGCCTTTTTTGGAAACTGTAGAATCCCTCTGTCGATCTTTTCTTGCACAACATACCGAAAAATAACACAATCGTTAGTTGAATGTTTCCAAAATTATGATACTTACAGTATTCTTTATTCCCTATTTCGCCAGCTATTGGGATTTTATACCCTAGCAACAACTTAATTAGACCACACTTTCTAAGGTGGTAAAAAATTTCACTGGTTTTAGACAAATTAAATGTGTATTGTTTTCCAACCTCGCCAGTAAAACATTTCACTGTCTTGTCGGCTTACTGGGTGACTTTGACTAAATTTGGGCAAACAACAGGTTTGTCTGCCACAACTTCTGCCACATCTAGATCATAATTGGCATCCCAATAATAAGTCCTATGAGATGTAGATTTCCTCTATAAATCTTCCCATAACAAATTTTCATAGTGAGCAACTTTGTAAGAAAGCTCAAAGAAATCTCGAAATTCCATCCCTTCAAATTTCCTCCTTAGCTCGATATCCAGACCATTCTATGCCAACTTAACAAACTCTTGCTCTGGCAAAGCAACCTGCCCTTAAGTCTGGCCCTACAAAATTTGGCAAGAAAAGCCTCAGATGATTCCACAGGTCGTTGTACTAGTCAAGACAGATTTGCCATAGACACTTCTGGCTCTAAGCGGTAGAACTGGACATGAAACAGATCTTCCATCTACCTCCAAGAATGAACTGAATTCTGTGGCAAGCTTGAGTACCGAGTGAGAGCTATACCAGTCAAAGAACTTGGAAAAAGTTTGAGTTTCAGATTGTCATCACTAGAAGCCTCGCCACATTGAATAGTGAAGCGACCTATATGTTCAATCATAGAATAACCACCATCTCTAGAAAATAGTGTGAATTCTAGCACTTTAAACCCCCTTAGGAAGGGATTCTCTTGATCTATATAATCTGGATATGGTTTTTTATAAGCTGGTCTGACTAAGGGCCTTAAAACTGGACCGTAGGCCTCCTGCACTAGATCAATTATTTGATCATGGTTGATGTACTAACCTTGCAAATTCTGTTATGGTGGTGGCATATGGGGATGGAAGTACTCCCTTTGGAGAGGTGCATTAAGTGATTGATGTCCCCATTTGGTTGGTGTTGAGGTGGCAGATATCTGGGTGGTTGTTGATTTCCCAGATCTACCATACATGGTGCAACCTCTATTGGTTCTGGCTGCACTGGCCCACCAACTACCGGTTGGTTCTGTGGAGGCAGATGTGGTTAACTGACTTGCCCCCTGAGCATTGGAGCTGGTGGATTTTGGATCTGCCTGTGATGATCAGTTGCTTGTGGTTGTGGTTCAATTCTGGCACATCGAAATGCTTCCTACATTCGTTCTGTTTCAACTTGAAAAGCTCTCTAATTTTCTGCATTCTACTTGCGCCAAATTCTTGCACTTTCTTCATTAGAATGCTGCATGTTAGCTAAACTTTGGGTCAGATTCTGAAGAGATTCATCCAATCATCTAGCAATCTCTTGGCTTCTTTGATGAGCTCTTTCCTCAGATTCCAACTGAGTTCGCCTCATCATGCTAATCTGTTCTGACACTGCTTTCATAAGGGAATCACCAGATTGAGCAGCATTATCTCTAGATTCACTATCCTTGTTAAAGGTTGGATTGACAAAAGAGTGCTCCCCAAGTATTGGTGACAATGGTGGCGGAATGATTGGCTCATGCTCTCCTTCTGAATGGGCTAGGCTACCTTCATCGAGCCCAATCTATAAAGTCTGGGCAGCCTTACCCATGTTTCTTTTTGGTGGCATAACTACACCTTTTCTTGGATAAAGGAACAACAGATCTAAAAATTGTAGGTGAGACACGATGAGGTCCCACCAGGCGTGCCACAAAAGGATTGTTTCCTAAAAAATCCTCAAGTAAATTTGCACATGTGGAATCTAGATGCAAGCGTGCCACTTACTTTTTTGAAAAGCAAGAAAAAAGGATTTTCTCAACAACCCTCTCCTTTCACGCGGTCGACCTCAATTAGGATGGCTAGAAGAACGTTGGTTTAAGACTGAGTTTTGCGCCCTTCAGGCGATTTGAAAGAGGGATGGATGCTTTCCTGCAGAATGGGTTGCTAATCTACCTTAGACAATCTCAAGGACTTTACCACTACCATGAATTTAAGTTAATAGATCCAAAATGAACTGAATGAGATGCAAATTAAAATAAACTTGATGTTTATAGTATGAAAGGAAATTAGAGAAGCAATTACACAAACTAATTTGGGTACTTGAATGCTGAAAACAACTTAAATCTACTAGAATCTGTGCCAAAACTAAATTATGAAAGCTAAAATGAACAATCACTATAAAACTAGAGAATTGAAAAATTGATGAGTTTTTGTGTAAGGCTAGCCATGTGTTAAAAAAATTCAAAAAGCTTCTATTTATATGCTTCTTGCGAGCTGTCTCTCGGCTGATAAGATCACAGATAACCTCCTCGCAAATTCTAAGGATTGTTGTTATTTTAAATTTAAGTTGCAACAAACTGAATAAACTTTATCTTCCTAACCAATTTTACAGATATATATCCCTTCAGTAGATTTAATCTCATCTTATCACTAGACACATGGCATTATTAAAAAATGTAATTTATGGTGTAAATAGTAGCACCCACTTTATAAACAAGATTGCTCATATATAAAAAAAAATTAAAGAGAAATAAATATATAAAATCTACAAAAGCTTTTGTTTCATAATTAGGGGCCTTAATATATCATGACATTCGGACACAATCTTGAACCATGTAATATTGTGTCTTCCTTTCTCTTACTCATCTTTTATTTTATTTATTTTATTATTATATCATCATGGAATTTTTATTATTATCAATTTCTTCGTTACGTCAAAACCTTCTTTAATGTAACTTCTTCAAAAAGCATCTATAAAGTGAAAAATCTCAAATTGAAAAATAAGAAAAATATATATATATGTAATTTAAATATAATATTAATTATTTCATCTATTAAGAATTGCTTTAAATTGAATGGTCCGTTTCGATTCAGTGGCATTAAATCCTGGGTTAAGGTAGTTCACCTCCGTGGGTGACATGTTCGACCCCTATAGAACTCATTTCCCCCCTCCCCTTATATACCTATAAATAATGCCAAAATTATTCAAAAAAAAAAAAAGAATTGGTTTAAATTAGATGGTATTTTCTAACATGTTATTAGAGTAGGTCGGCCGATACCCACTCAATCTCTTGAAAGCTTCCCATCTTCTTATTCTTCTTCACATCTAGGTCCTCTCCACAAGTGCAGCTGGCAAAATGCTCTGCGTATTTGGTCTTGCACATGTATTATAAAATTCTTGTCGTTAACTAATTTTAAATTAGATGCTCATATTATGTTTTGGTCGATATATTCATTTTGAACTGGGGTAGTTTGGAGGTTTTGTCCAGCCATATTGTTTTAAGGTGTTAGTTAAATAACTGTCTTACTTACATAAAATAATTTACATCCTTTGTCTCCAGCCAAATTTTAATCGAATTGAGGAGCCTAGAAAAAGGCATGAGGCCGGCTGCCCGTTGAGATAGTGACACTCACGATTCCACATTGAGCAATGATCAATCTTCCAAGTTATTTAACTTAATGTTTTTATACTTCTTACTAAATTTAATGGTGACATGAAGGAGGTGTTAGACTGTGTTTATTAAATAGCATAATTTACATCCTTTTCAGCATTGATTATGATTAATGAGATCTATTGATTGCTTGAATGAAAGGTTTCAGGACCTAATCACAGCTAATCAATAGTACAATTCAAATACCGTCAATCATATTATCAATGGTAAAGTTATTTACGTTTTTAACTATAAAATTAGGGTTTAATCACTTATTTAAGTAAAAAAAAAAAGTATAATTAAAATATTGTTAAAAAAATTAAGACTCAAACAAACCTAAAGTTAAGGGTTATCTGTGGAATTTAATGGGCATTCATATATCACTTGCCGCATCTAATTCATAACATAAAAATCTTAAAAGCTGACTTCCTTTTCGGCCATCCCTGCACTGTTGTGTTGCCTTTGAGAATACCTGCAGGATTCGTCGTACAGCCGAGTTCCCGAAAAAAAATTACATTTGAGCTACAATTTTGTCAGCCTGTCATGGACAAGGACTATCTCTATTAACCATTTGGATAAGTATATTAATTTAGCAAGTTCAAAATGCAGTTTCTGCAACTGGAGGGTAGCTGCCATTCCAATCGTTGCTTCTTAACTCCACCATAAACACTGCTCCCTTTGTTTCTCCATTTTTCACAATAACTGTTTTATTTTGATTAAAAATTTTATTTCAACTTTCTTTTACATTTTTAATATGCATTAATATTTTCTTTCAGCAAAGTTATAATTAGTCTATAAAATTATAAGTATACAATTATAATATATTATCAAATAAATAAATACATATAATATTACGAATATACTTTAAATAAAAAAATATATTAAAACTTCAGCTGGACTATTAAATGGATTGGATTGGGCCGTGTCAGCTGAGTGCATGCGTGGTGGTGAGCACCGTAACCTAGACTGCATTGGTTTCCTTTTGCTTTCTTTTCCCTTTCAGTGCTGATTTTCGAGTTTCAACACAAATTTTAGTTTCGTTTTAATCAAATGAAGGGAAAACATTCATGTAGTCTTCAAGGAGCTTACTTCAATACCGACTGGAAGGCTAGACGACTGAGAAATAAAGTTCTCAGTAATTTTGAGAGCAATATTCTCCGTAGTCCGTACAGGTTATGGAGACATCACTGAAGAATTAAGTTCTCAAGAAAATTGTTCAATGACTAGTTGCAATCCCAAAGATACAAGGCTACAATGCTTGCCAAACTTCCACATCCATCTGACTTAAAACAGGTACCAGGACATGGGACTAAAGTGTGACCAAAAACAAGGAAACACTTCCCAACAGGCAAAGATAAGTCACTAGTGGAGGCAACGTATACAAATAACTGTTCCTCCAAGGACACATATGAGTGCGCTGATGCTTATTCAAATTAATATTCGAAATTCATATGAGATGAAGTTTACCACGCTCCTCTCTGTGAAGCGCCTGTGGAATGCACATTCAACCTGTCAAGCACAGCATTAAAATCCACAGCCTGGCCACTCTCCTCCATCCTCTGTATCACACTGGCAACAAGATCACCCCTGAAACCCATGTTCACCAATTTCTCAACCAAGTCACCATAGGGTTGGTTGCGAATGAATTGAGGGTGGCTTGGGTTCCTGACCATAAGACTGCCACCTGTGCTGGGCTGAGGATTCTGCATAGAGACATGTGGTGGAGGATAGCTACCCTGAGCAAAGTGGGGTTGTTGGGATGGATGATGATGCACCAACCTCCCACCTTCACTATCATACATCATATGTGCACTCCCTGGAGGAAGAGAAGGATGGGGCCCAGAAGCTGGATAATTATCAGCTGGTTGTGGTCCAAAAGTGCCCTTGATTTGCTGTGGTGAAGGCTGCTGGGAAGCTGTTCTACCAGGTGCACCATATCCATAGGAAATAGCATCAACACGGCTTGATACAGGTTGAGGAACTCCTGAATATGGCACATGCATGGGCATACCATGTGGCAATGCCTCCGGTTGAGATGGGTTTGCAGATTGAGTGGTAGGGTAGGAAGGATAGACTGTTGATGATGTGGGCCTGATCTGTGATTGCATGGAGGACTGTTGCTGTGATGGTACCTGCTGTGGTAATTGCTGAACCCATTGCTGCTGATACTGAGGGAATGGTTGACTCGATGGCACCTGATTCACTTGAGTGACACTAGGCTGGGGTGGCATTCTAGAGATGTCTTGCATCTGAGGTGTTCGGTACTGAGGATCTGAAGATAAATATTGACTCTGGGGGTGTTGGGTTGGCATGGAGGCTGGGGCTGGGGCTGGGGCTTGCGGATTTGCTATTTGGTTGGCATGTATATAGTAGGACTGTTGTTGGGCCAAATTCTGAGGTGGGGCTTGAGAGGGTGGTGTGACATGCTGTTGCCGTGTGGCTAGTTGATGCGGCAGGGCAAGAGCCAATTGCTGGCTCTGCATGTCAGATGTGGTGTTGGTCCTTTTAGGATCAGAGGCACATGGTGATGTTCTCTCTTCATTGGATTGGGAATGACTGGAAGAGGAAGATTCCTTCTGCACAAGTTGCAGCTTAGCTAACTCCTTCTGAGCCTCTGCAAGTTCCTGCTTGTCCCTCAGGATCTGCACAGATCTATGGACCTACAATGGGCAATCAAACAGTCAAACTCTGAAATCAAATGGCTGCAAACAATCAAACAGGAGAAAATCATTTATGTGAACAACAAACTAATTTACATCATGAGAATTAAATTTTCACAAGATTCGCAAAAGAGGTTTGTATTTGCATTTTCAAATAAGAGCCAGGACTCAATCATATGATTCTTTTTTTAATACATACACCAAACAATAGGATGAAATTCTCTAGGGGCTGGAAAACACTTGGATGCCATTTAAAGATCCATATCATTCAAGATTTTGTGACCCATCAAAAAGCCATATAATGCATACAATTTGTTATAATCTTTTTTATTTGCAGGTGCAAAATAATTCACGAAAATGCAGACTTCTCATGCACATACCAACATTATAGATTATTTGACATTTATAGTTATGGCCCATGATAGCTCAGAGTCTTCCACCAAGCTACTAGACTTAATTTGGGAGCCTTTAACAAGTTAAGGGAAAAAGGTGTGCATAAAGCACCAATTACCACACAAATATCTCCTGGTTTATTTTTGACAAACAGAAAAATATGATGATAATGTTATAAGGTCATAGTCATAGTCATACTCACCTCCTGAAGATGTTTCTCAATAAATTTAAGCTTTGAATCTGCCTCCTCATGATTACGGATTGAATCTGATCGCATATCTCCAATTGATTTATCAAGATTATAGCAATACAATTCCAACTGCGATAGACGCGAACTTATTCCCTCAAGAAAGCGCATGAGGTTGTCAGCATACTTCTTCATTGCTTTTTCAACAGTAACATTCACATCTTGGATGAAAGAGTCATCTGGCTGACCATATGCACTGGTAGGAAGTGCTGATGATCTTGTCATTCTGCCCTTGTGAGTATCCTGCAGAAAATATATAGCATGCTAAACTTAGTGGAAGTGATAGCAAGTTTAATTGTCTTCAATTAAAGCATGAACCATCAAATTGTACCACCATTTTAGCATATAAATTGACAAACAGACATGGGTCTATTCATTTAATTCCGAGAGTACATGGGACCCAAATTTCGTTAAACTTTCCCCGACTCCTAGCTCTGCCTTCTTCTGAATTTTTCTATCATTTATCTTTGACAGAAATCTACACACCAAGGTTATCAACTCATAAAACTCTTCTTTACATGAAAATAATATGCTTGACTCCAGTTCTAAATAACCCAGGAAACCAACATAACCATATCCTCCCAAAAGGTCAAAAAATTAAATAAGAAAGCAACAACATGGGAAGGTCAAGAAAAGAAATTAACTAAACAAAAGCTTAAACTTTCTAAATATACAGTCAACACAAGAACTCAATTGGTTCCAGCATTAGATTCAGACCCACTACACCTCCAGAGAGAGTAGTAAGCTTCTGAATATTAGATAAACCGAATTTAACATGTCCCAGAACAATGAAATACCAAATAAACCCTGTGAAAATCTACTATTTGAAATTCGAAACTTTGATCTTCCATAACAGTATTATTCCTTAAAGAAAAGAGCAGGCGCTCGTAGCTCTTCTCCATTCTTCCCACTTGTGCACAAATAGAGAAGCTACCATTTTAAATTTAGGTCAATAACCGACCGACTGAAATAGATCTCTAATTCAAAATCCGAAGCTGAACACAGATTACCCTTTAGCCAGAGAGTTCCCAAAAAGCTAGATTAAACCCTAATCTCACAAAATTCCCTGAAAAATACCATAAACAAAACCCAAACTTATCGTGTCTATGTAAGAACAACCACCTTGCCGTAGCTGACGGAACCGATCACAGGTTCACTATGGCTACCATTAGACAAATCCTGGTTGGCATAGTCATCGTAGGAGCAGAGGATATCATCGGAACCGAAATCGAACCCCTTGGAGCCGGAATTCCCCCGACCCGCCGACCCAGATGCCATAATTCACCGCGGAGATATGGGAATCCGTATAAGACTATGCTTGAGATCCTTCCTCGACGGGAGAAAAGCCAAAGAAGAGGATCGCGTGGAAATTAAGGGAAATCAAAGGGCAAGATTTCTTCACTTTGGGGATGGCGAAATCGAAACGTTTTTTAAAAGGAGATTTTTCCTTCCTTCGATGCTGTGTTGATAAGGACGAGCATGCATGCACCGACCGTCTACCAATTTTTTGCAGAGATGGTCCCTGTATTTTATTCGTATTATGAGTTTTATACACTGAAAAGTGAAGTGTAATATGTTGATAGAAGTGAAAGGCTCTTGATATTGGAGATGTAACCTTTTAATAATAATTAAAAATAATATAATTTTATAAAATTATTTTGTACGGTAAATGTATACAATTTATTTCATAAAATTATTTAAATATTTTTAATATTTTTATCTTATTTTTTAAAAATATCTAAATAATTTTATAAGATAAATTATATACAATTCATCTTATAAAATAATAATATGATATAATTTATACAAAATAAATTATACTATAGTTTAGTTAAAAATGTTAGTTTCTAATTACAGTTGGTGTAAGTTTTTTAATTTTTAATATTTTAAAAATATATAAAATATGTTTTATGTTTATTTTAATTAATA